TATTTACCGAAAATAGTGACCACTATTGCCGAATTCGACGTCGGGTTGTCATCCTGATCTTTATTATTTGACTTCAAATTTAACATATGTTTAGTAACATAAAGAAAATCGCTTTAAATTAACTTTTGACTAAAAATCGGCCACTATACCATCAACGTAACTTTTTTCCCGAGGGTTAAATAAAAATTATTGTTTTGGGCAAATTAACATAGAGTCTCCCCCATCCTCCTTTGTATAATTATATTCAATGAATATTATCACTAAAACCCGGTAGGGCCACTTTAGTGCCACTATTGTATAGTGAGGTTATACTTTAGTTATAGACTGATAGCATTAGTAATAACATGACTAATGTTATTAAATATGAATCTGCCTATAAATCGTTATACTTATAACACATACAGTATTGACTATTTACTGTTTCATTACATCATGGCGATCCCTGAATATTTAATATAGAATTAAAAAAGCATAAAAATATGTTGTTTTACCAGTAATAATAATTAAATAATTTAAATAAAACATACGTTATTATTAGTATATTTTGTAATAAATTCATAAGTTATGAACATAACATTTAGATAAAGCAATATTTAGTTTGTAGTAAAACATATTTTATTTCATTTATTTTATGAATGATCAATATATTTTTACTAACAATAATATTAAAAACACTTGTGTTGTTGTAAAAACAATACAATATAATAAGTAACATGAAATTGTTATGCATTTTAAATATGTTGTTTGTATATAATTTTATGTAAATGACTATAAAAATACATATTAAAATTCAATAATAAAAATTTACCTTGCTATAGCTACATATGCAATACAGAATAAAACATTATGACTTTTGAAACAATGAAACCCAAGTTTGCATTATTAGTGCCACTAATTGTATGCTTACTATCGATCGATTCAATCGATGCCTTAATCCGCATATCGTTGCATAAATTCAAGTCTATTCGACAACATCTGAATGAAAACGGTATCGATATTAAGGATGTATTGCCAGAGAGTGATGAACACAGGATTACAGGACAGGCCATACCTGTGCGGCTCAGGAACTATATGAACGCCGATTATTATGGTCTCATAGGTCTGGGCACTCCTCCACAACCATTTAGAGTATTTATATTATTATATTGTATTATTTAATTATATTGTATTAACTAGATCCATTTTTACACAGATACATACAGATGTATATTTTATATATTTTAAAATATAATTTTTAATAATTAATTAAAATTTTTACACAGATCTTATTTGACACGGGCAGCTCTGACCTATGGGTGCCGTCACCAAAATGTACGTCATGTGCTTGTATTGTGCACCGCAAATATTATTCGTCAAAATCATCTACCTATATTAAAAATGGTACAGCATTTGCAATCAAGTACGGTACGGGTTCTGCCAAAGGGTTTCTCAGCACCGATACCCTAACCATTGGCACCGGTAAAGTACATAACCAGACATTTGCCCAGATTACATCTGACCCTGGTCCATCAGATGTTTTGGGCGATTATGACGGCATAATGGGTATGGCTTACCAAAAGCTGTCGGTCGACAACACAATCACACCGTTTCAAAACATGATAGCACAGGGAGTGGTGTCGGCGCCGGTCTTCTCCTTCTACCTGAACCGAGACGTGAAGGGAAGGCCCGGCGGAGAGCTTATACTCGGCGGCTCTGACCCTAAT